ACCAGACAAAGCGCAGCCTGAAGACCCCTTATGGATACAAACATTGGATCTGGCGTTCCCTCGCCCGGACGCGGGTCACCGGGGCCCCCCTCTGGAGCCAGGCCTGGAGGTGGGGCACGATGGCGAGCGCCTGGTGGCCGGGCTCCGTGGGTGAAAGCCCGGCCACCAGGCGCTCGCCATCGTGCCCCACCTCCAGGCCTGGCTCCAGAGGGGGGCCCCGGTGACCCGCGTCCGGGCGAGGGAATGCCAGATCCAATGTTTGTATCCATAAGGGGTCCCTCTTAATTAAATATATAAATACATAATATATAAATAAATAGGAAGAAACCTCCAGAAGAACCAGGCTCAGGACAGGAGGCCATCTGCCTCGACCAGCTGGTTTGTGGGGACAGGAAAGAGACAGGTAAACACAGAAGGGCTGGTCCAGGTGTATTTTCTATTCGAAGCGAAACAAATAAAACATTTTATTTGTAGAAATAATAGAACAACAAACATGTAGAGTGACTAAAACCATTAGCATAGTGAGGAAATGTGGTCAGTTTGTCCTCCAGCAGTCTAAACTAAGGGATAACTTGAGAAACCTAAGCCTATCTATATAGGATCAATCAAAAAGGAAAGTCTTAAATCCGCAGTAGTCTTAAAAGTAGACAGTGTCAGCCTCACGGACTGAGTGTGTCAAGGATTAACTCTGGACTTACAACATATACAGGGGTTAAATAATGAAACTGAAACACCTGTCATTTTAGTGTGGGAGGTTTCATGGCTAAATTGGACCAGACTGGTGGCCAATCTTCATTAATTGCACATTGCACCAGTAAGAGCAGGGTGTGAAGGTTCAATTAGCAGGGTAAGAGCGCAGTTTGGCTCAAAATATTACAACGCACACAACATTATGGGTGACATACCCGTTCAAAAGAGGACAAATTGTTGGTGCACGTCTTGCTGGTGCATCTGTGACCAAGACAGCAAGTCTTTGTGATGTATCAAGAGCCACAGTATCCAGGGTAATGTCAGCATACCACCAAGAAGGACCAACCACATCCAACAGGATTAACTGTGGGCACAAGAGGAAGCTGTCTGAAAGGGATGTTATGGTCTAAAACCAGGTGTTTCAGTTTCATTGTCTAACCCACTGTAGAGTCCAGACAGGTTAGTTTGTAAATGATGTTTAATATTAACAACAGGAATAAGTCACTCGGACAGAAACTGGACGTTGGTTCTACAAGAGAACTCCTAGAACATCTACCTAAATGCATGCATCAATTTTTCCGCTTCATTTTTGGATTAGATGTTTCTCATTTTAATGATCCTACGCAGGTGAAAGAAGGCAGTCCTAGTAATATTTTTAAAATGGGGGCATATCCTGATTTTTAA